TGCCATTCGTCGCCGCTGCGTTGACATGCTCGAAACGGCCGGCGGCGCACGCCGCAACGCCCGAGGTCTTACGTCTTTGCGCCGCGCTGTATGCTGGAGTCCCTGAGTCAGACCTGCTGCTCAAGATGGTCTTTGCGCGAATCGGTTTCTTGCAGCCGCTCCTCTGGCAGAGGGCGCCGCAGGAAACGAGCGAGTTCCTCATCGGCCATCCGGACGTCGCTGCGCTGGTGCTCCGGGAAGCGGCCCTGCGGAGGGAAGAAGACATCGGGGGCCAGAACCTGCCGAGCATGGAGGTTGCGCCGCCACCGGGGCCGCCCCCTCCGCCGTTCGGAGGACCAACAGTTGTGTATCCCTATGCCAGAGTCCATCCTGGACCGGCGATATGGGACTAGTGAGAGCTAGGCAGTATAGTAGTGAAAGCTGGACTGACCCTCGTCAACTCGTATGCTTTCTTGAGAATCCGCGGATGCAGACACGTATTATTATAGGTTCGGTCGATCAGCAGGCGTTGGCAATAATGTAGCTGGCTCAATTAGGACAATGACGGTTATCATAGACCCAGGCATTGTGGGTTGGTCCACTGTCTTCGTGTCACCAATCGTCTTTCTACTATATCGCTTTTCATCTCTCTCCACGAAATTAAAAACACACACACGCTTGCCATGAACACTATGCGCTCAAAATCACTTAATCGATCGTGTTGTCCCGCAACTTGAACAGCTCACCGAGGACCTCGCCCGTCTTGGCCCGTAATGCGTTGTGGTACATGGTGTTCGTCTCGAAGACCTTGCACCCGCGAACGGCGGCAGCCGTCTCGCGCGCGATCCGCGAGTCGACGTACATGTCGTCGACATAGCTGGCAGCGTAGACGGGGACGTCATTGCGGCGCAACTGGTCGAGGTCATACAGCGCGGGCCACTCAGCGTGAGCGGCCAGGAGGTCGGCGGCGGGTTTGAGCAGACGCAACTCGGGATGGGTGTCGAGATGGAAGGGGAAGATCATTTCACCGGAGAAGTAGAGGGGCTCTCTGTCGTCGTCGGACTCGTCGAGCACGAAGGGTTTCGTGTTGTCGAGCCAAGCGTAGGGGGCCAGGCGGCTGCCGACGCGGTGGGCGGCCCAGTTGGAGGCAACGCCGGGCTCGTAGCAGTAGATGGCCTCGTGGAGGATGGCGTAGATGGGATTCGCGTCAAGGGGATTGTATGATTCGACGGCGGCGAGGGCGGCGCGGGTGAGGTGGCCAAACTGGTCGAGGTCGGTCGCCAGCTTGAGGATCAGGGCGTGGACCGAGTCGAGGCCGCCGTGGGCGCCGAAGCCGAGACCGAGAGTCAGGAGGCGGGGAATGGTGAGGGTGCCGCCGGCGGGGAGCGGTACGGAGGCGCCCTCGTGTGAAGCGATGTGGCGGGCGATCTCGCGGACGGCGCGGATGTCCTCGGGGTACTTCTTGTAGTAGACCTCGTTGCGGCTCGTGACGCGCTCAAAGGTGGCCTCATACACTTGGTCAGGGGTCTTGTCAAGGGGGGCGAGGCCACCGGTCAGGAAGACCTCGCGGAGGCCCTGGGGGAAGCGGGAGAGATAGGTTAGGGCGACGAAGCCGCCGAAGGACTGGCCGAAGATGGACCAGGGCCGTTTCTCGGCAGGGTAGCCTTCCGTGAGGCAGGCGCGGACGGCCTCACAGTCGTTCACGATGTTATCCTGGCGAAAGAGACGCAGGTAGGCAGCCTGGGAGACAGCATCAGTACCGGCCCTCTGCTTGACGGAGGCGGCGGATATGGGGGTGCTGGAGCCGACGCCGCGGTAGTCGAGGAACAGGACTTGATACCCGCGGGTCAAGGCAAGGCGGGTCAGGGGCATGTCCTGGGGTTCGCGGTTGCCGAAGCCAGGACCACCTTCGAGATAGACGAGCCATGGCTTCTGGTCAGCCTTGATGGCATCGGCTGACGAGAGCGGCACGATTGGACGCTCACGTTTGGTCACACTACGGCCAAAGAGCTTGAGAGTGCCGGCGGGAGGGTTCGAGTAATCGGCAGGCACTTCGAAGAAGAGCTCGGAGACTTGGAGTTGGTCTGAGGATGTTAGTCCAGGCGCAGGAAACAAGGGCTGTAAATGGCGAGATGTAACATGTACCTGGCAGGATGTGGGATCTTCTGCTCAGCAGCTTCGCAGCATTGATGATTTTCCCTGCCATTGTTCAGGCAGTTCCAGCCAGGTTGGCTGATCTGGGCGAAGGGAGTGCGATGGTTCAACTTTGACAAGAGAAAGACGCCAGAAAGAAGGTAGAGTACTGGAATGACAGAGAGGCAGATATATGAGTATATGCAGCTCCAACGAGAATCGTGGTGATAGATGCTCTCCAGCAGCTCTCCGTCTGTCTCCTTCTCAAGGTGCTGTGCAGCATGGAGGGGTTGATAAGTGGAGCTCTGAAGCCAGCGGTTGCCAACTGCCCCAAGCAGTCAGGTCGGTGCCCACCAATCTACCGACCTACCGTACCAGCGTATCTCCCTAGGCACCTCAGCTTGCTAAGGTCCCCACCTAGGTAGCAGGCTTAGCTCCCTGAAGTTCCGTGAGAGCAGCAGGGGTCGGCCTCGGGGTGCGTGTCGCCGAAGGTGGCGTGGTGCAGTGCATGGTGTGGGTCACCCACGTGACGCGTATCCGTGCAATTAGGAAGCTGCCCTCGGCATCCACACCTACTGCAAACCAGGACCCATCAGACTGACTGCTACTTCTTCCCTTCCTCCATCACCCACCATCTTCTCCCCAACACCATCCTTCATGCCTCACACCGCGCACTCTGAACGCGACCTCAGCAATGTGATGAACTACATCAATCTGACGCAGACATTGGTTGATTCTTTCCATGCTCTTGCCGATGAGGTTCAGGCTCTGACTGACAGGAAAACCATCCTGGAACACAAGCTGAGGTTCGCCCACGAACAGGTAAGCCAACTGCTACAATTCTTCATTTGTCAGCCGAGCATGCCATCATCTCCCCACGGCCATGCGAGGCGATCCCCTTCTACATGATGAACAAAATTTAGCTCTAGATCAAGAGATGCAAGCTGCACCGAAGATCGACAAAAATTTACCAATTTCTGACCTGTTTACCCCTGCTCCCTTTTTTTTCTCACTTGGTTTTTCTCCGAACCACTTCGGTCCTCGAGCAGACATGCTGACAAGAGGCCCCCCGGCTGCCTGCCGACAGTACCAGTTCCTAGCAGACAAATATGCACCCAACGCCCCAGACATTGCAGAGACTCTGGCCAAGCTCCAGCTCCCGTCAGACCTGCCCGTAGACGACGCCAAACCTGTACCCTTGCCCCGGCGCAACAATCTTGACACGCGCAACCAGCTTGCAGTGCTCATCCGTGACGGTCGCCGAAGCGCCAAACAGCTTTCCGCCCTTGTGGAGCCGAGTAAAACGAGTGTATCTAGCAGAGGCAGCTTGTCGTGCGACGGGCAAACAGTCACATCCATGTCGACCGCACTGGAACAAGACTTCACCATCGAGGGCAAGAAGGGCCAGCTTCAATGCCCCTTCTCGGCGGCGGCGACACCCAAACCCGACATGGTGAACGGCCACGTTCATGGTGGCTCCGCTGAACCTGGCCCGCAGGACACCACCCCTCATCACTCTGCCGATCCCATCTGTGCCGCCATGCTAGAGGAAGCCACATCGCAGCAGGCCCAGTCCAGCGGCAACGCCGCCAAGTGTCCCATCCGCTACCTTGACCAACACTCTCCAGAGGAAATTGCCCACTACGTCGAGACACACAAGCACGAGCTGCCACGCAGTCACGAAGTGTGTGTCCGCCGCTACCAGAGAAGTGAAGACCAAATTCGCAAGCTTGACGCCAAGTACGGCAACCTAGTCAGCATGGTGCAGGGTCTTAGCACGCTCCACAAGCCCATGCTGCCGACGTCGCAAATGCAGGAAGAGATTGACAAGGCGTCGAATGAAAGGGTGGAAAATTGGGCGCATGCCGTGACGTCGGATGCCACGGACGATATCGAGGAAGTCAACTCTACGCCTCCGGAGCAGCCGAACGACGTGGATGATGAACGCCAAGGTCATTTTGACCGCCCGCTCAAGGAGGTTCGCGTCGGCGAGTCTCCCAGCCGTCCCTGGGGCATCTCCGTTCCTGTCTATGAGACACACAGGTTTGAAGACGAGGATGGGCCGCCGCTGTCGCCGCCGCCCGCACCCGTCGTCATGCCAACATCATCGCAAGGTCTTCCGACCCCAGCAGGTCACCCGATCCCAGCCAAGGCTCTTGGGGGCAAGTGCCCATTCGATCACACCAAGCTCGCCGCTGTCATGAACGGACTTGATGCATCTCCACCAGCATATCCCAAGACTGATGAGGGCAAGGACCCTGAGCCGCACCAGCTACCGGCGACACCCCCTCTGCGACCTGTCACACCACCAGCCAAGGCACAACCAGCACCGCCATCGCTTCCGAAGGCCACCTTCGCTCCCCCTCAACCAACCTTTGTTCCACAATCGGCGTACGCACCTCAGCAACCGACCTTTATCAACCCCTTGGCTGAGTCTCTCAAGCCGGGTGGGCCGCAGATGGTTTTCACGGGGCCCGTGTTTATCGGGTATCCCATCGAACAAGCCATTCAGTTTATGCAGCACTTCCAGGGGCAGCGGCCATGACCTGCTTCTCCTACTTTGGTTCTTCGTTTGTGTTTTCTTAGCGCCGGCGTTTTGGGTTAGCGTTTCCTATTCAGACTGTACTCACCCGCGAGCGATTGTACTTGTTCTTGATCTCATGACGTGACGATGGCTTGGGGTGTATTTGAGGATGAGGACGAGAGCGGGCTGTCCTCACGGCGTAACAATAGGATACCACATTTCAATCCAGAGATGAATACTTGACATGCATGAAACGAAAACCAGTCGATGCCGAAATGTGTCTATGTTTTGGTTGTACCTTCCCACGCGTGCACCATCTATAGTAAAGAACCCTTCCAGGGGAAAAAACAACACACGTACCCAAATCCCTAAGAAAACGCCAACCGGCCTTCACAGACACACTACTGGCATCATGGTCGTCAACAGCAGCGGCAGCGGCCCCAAAGAACGAGGCGTTCTCGTCGAAAGACGGAACGACGAAGAAGGAAAGAAAAAGGTAGACGCGGCGCAATGAAGAAACACGGCCTACTCTCTCCTCCCAGTCTTCGACCGCCGCGCGTCGTCCACGACGCCCGTCTCCTGGCCCCCGGCCTCGTCCTCGTCCCGGTACCGCGCATCCTCCTCGTTGCCCCAGAGGCTAATGTCATCCTCGTTCATGAGGGCCGCGACGTCCTCGGGGTCGACGAGGCCCGGCCTCGACGTCGGCGTAGTCAAAGTCGGCATGCCGCGGGCGACGCCGCGGGCGGAGAAAGACGAGCCGTCGCTGCCGCGCCTGCGGTGTTCGTGGTCCGGGTGGGCGTGGTCGTGCTGCTCGAGGGCCAGCTCGGCGGCGCGGGCCATGGTGCGGTGGTAGATGAGGCAGCCGACGGCGAGGCCGACGAGGCCGCCGAGGGCCATGGAGGTGTAGTTGACGGCCTTGTCGGCGGCGGTCATGGCGTCGCCCTTGTCGGCGATGAGGGCGAGGCGCGAGCCGATGAAGACGTGGACGAGGAGCTTGGGGCTCGCGAGGGCCGTGGCGGCGGCGAAAGGGCGGCGGGCCGCACGGCGGGCACGGTGGCGAGGAAGCCGTTGGACACGCTGTAGGGCAGCGGGCAGAAGCGGACGGCCGTCAGCATGCCGAGGCCGTCGCTGCGGAGGACGTGGCCGAGGGCGACGAAGCGCGGGTCGGCGCCGACGAGGCGGTGGACGTAGCCGCTGAAGACGGTGCGCGACGTGTAAAAGGCCGTCAGGCTGCCGGCGACGGTGGCCGTCGCGACGATGGGGTAGGCGTGCGGGAAGCCGTAGACGAAGCCGGCGACGGTCACGGACGTGCGTGGCCGATGACGGGCGGAAAGGCCGTCGCAAAAGGTGAAAGAACCCAGGCGGAGCCACCCAGCCGCCGGGGCAGGGGCGCGCCCAGCGGTTGCGACACGGGGCGCGAGCCACGCGAAAGATGGCGTTGCGAGTAGATGACGAAGAGGAGGAGAAGACGTTGACGACGACGAGCGCCAACGTCAGCGCGAGCCGCTGCACCGGCGGCAGCCGCAGGTAGAGCACCCAGAGGTTGTTGGCTGTCTTGTGGGCGGCACGCAGGGCCCGCGTCAGCGCCGGCGGCTGGTGGCGGGCAAAGCGTGTCGTCGAGAGCCGCCGCGAGGACGGGGACCGGCGAGCCCAGGGCGGAGGAGGGTCGGGCGACGATGTGGCGGATGGCGAGGCGCGCCGCGTGGGTGAGGCGAGACCGGGCTCGGGCGATATGGACAGCGCCTGGGCTGCCGACCACGCATCGTTGCCGTTGGCGGGCATGGCTGGGTTGGAGGGTCGGGTTGTGTCGTTGTGATGGGTGTTCGTTCGGGAGTATGTTCTGCAAAGGGATGATCGGAGGGGTCGTCGTTGAGAGGAGCCAAAGTCGAGTAAGAAAGCGAAACCCAGCAGGCAATGCAAGCGATGGGGTGTTGATGACGGCCCTGCGTCGTATGAGCGAGCTTCGAGCGGCAAGCGTCGAGCGGCAAGCGTCGAGCGCCGAGCTTCAATGGATTCGGTGAGCAACAAAAGCTACCGCGTGGCCATGTTCCACAGCAATGGGAGAAGGCGAGGATGCAGTGTCGTGGAGGGAGTTTTGCGGTGTCGGATACACCGGGGGGGGAGGGGAGTGGAGGGGAGGTTCAATTGATACGAGGTCTAGGCAGTCGTCATGGGTTGGTTGGTCAGCACTTGCGCTGTGCCGCCAGGAGGCTCGAGGACCGCACGCCCTCCCCAGCGACCAAACGTCAATACGTACCTTAGGTAGATGGCGCTACAGCAACTCAATCTGCTACCTGAGGAGGATTCATACGGTTGTGTTGTGCAATGGCAAGGGAAGAAGATGGAGAGTGGTCCAATGTCCCGTGTTCCGTGTTCCGTGTTCCAGCACTGACGTTGAGCCACAGGCGTTGAACCATACACGCCCAAACGAGGCTTAGCGTTGCTTCGCCTTGGAACTGATCGGCACGACAAACTGCTGTATGCATTGGCATCACACCTTTGTCAGTACCCAAAGGGCCAGAGTGAATGCCTCTATGTTGTATCCTCGTCTTCTTCTCGCGTCTTCCATATCTTGGGGTCTCGTCTTGGGGTCTCGTCTTCTCATGCCAGCCCGCCCCCGCAGAATCCCTCGTCTCATATCCACATCATCATGACCGTCTTCCGCTCGGTCCCTTGGGCGGGTCTCGAACGAGCAGCCTCACCTTGCCATCCCCAATCTCGACGCCCTGACTCAGAATGTCGACCTCCTCCTTGCTGCTGCTCTCGGATGGGCTCGCCGCGCCCGACCTGGCGAGGCTCTTGTCATAGCTCGTCGCGTCGATACCCAGGATCCCGCCCATGTTGTTCCGGTCCCCCGGCACCGAGAACTCCCGGTACGCATACCGCCACTCGTTGAGGAAGTTGCGGATCGCCTTGCCCACCTTGTCCTTGCCGCTCTTGCTGTGGTGGCCCGTTCCCGTGATCGCGTATATGGGACGCCCCTCCTTGCTGTTCTCCGCCAGCACCCGCTCCAGGTACTCGACTGCCTCCTCGGGGTGCAGCCCGTGCAGGTCGACGTACATCTCGGCACTCGTCGAGTTGGCCCTGTTGCGCTCTTCGTACAGCTCCCGCGCCGCCTCGCGATGCGCTTTCCGCATGAGGTCGTTCTCGCTTTGGCCCCGCAGGCTCAGCGCCTTGGCGGCCCGCGCGTCGTTCCGGTTCCATGCCTGCGCAGCGCTGTCGTCATGGTCAGTCATGGCTCTTGTGCTGCTCAACCTTCGCCCAATAATAAAATAAAAATAAAAAGGAAAGAGACAGTGAGGGGGACAGGAGATACCTCTGCAGGAATTTGTTCCTGAGGCCGCCGTGCTTGATAGCCTCCTGGCGCGCCTTCAGGTACAACTTGTTGGCCCGCTCGCCGTCTCCAGCCAGGGGATATGCTTCGGGCTCTGGATCGCTGTGCCTTGTGCCGGCCAGGGTTGTTCTTCCCCGGTTCCGGAATAATTGGTCGAAGCTTGCCGGTTCGGCCCAATCCTTCTTCAAGGTCCTGCCGCAAAACCGCCCGCCGCCGGCAGGGGGCGACATTTTGACAATTTCGCCAGTGAACTAGGCGCACAAAGTTGTCCTTGTGGTTGTGCCCGCCCCTTTTGCGTGGTGCTTCTTCGGCTGCTTGGCCGCGGCCGAGCAAGGGACGGGAAGGCGTCGGCATCATCGAGGGAGGGCGCAATGACGACGCCTCGCGGGGTTGCTGCTGCCGGCTGCCGGGACGAGACCGGGACCTGGGGCTCTCCCCTGCGTGGAACGGCTTGAGACCCGGGGGCGGCGTGATGCCGACGAATGGGTAGCCGTTGGTCTGGCCGGCGCCGTGTTCGGGTGTCCCCGGCTGGAGCAGCGGGAACGAGTTGTAGTCTGATACTTGTATGGTGGCCTGCTTAGTGGGAGGCGTGCTGGCGCCGTCGAGCGCGAGCTTGTTCATGAGATAGGCCGGGTCGTGTGAGAAGATGCACGTGTCCCCTGCGAGACAGTTACCCATGACCCAGTACCTGTGAGAGCATAATTAGTCTTGGCGGTGACAGGTGAAGGCGCAGGAGGCCACACGTACTTGCACAGATGATTGCTGAGGTCGTGGCTGAACCGGCAATCGGACCGCAGGCACTGGCCTGTGGACCATGTAAAACTTGCAAAATGACGGCCCGACCTTTTGCTGGCCCGCCGGCGTCCCCGGGCCGCGCGTCGGTGGCCATGGACTTGCCAAATGACGATGGACTTGGTCTCCCTCCTGCCTGCAGGCTCGGGAAGGAGCCGTCTTGCGCCTGGCTCTCCATAATGGCCACGATGGCGGCACTCAGGTCATTACCGTGCACCGCAAGAGCCGCCTCGATCTCGTCATCCGTCCGCGACTGTCCCAGTATGGAGCGCAGCATATCGTAGGGCGACATGTCATTCTGCTGCGACGAGAGGGACGAGAACTCGGGGGCCCGCGGCGTTGAGGCCGCTTGACGTGCGACGGACGAATT